AACACGAGCAGTTCCATCTGAATAGCTGGAAACCCCAGACTTCCAGAAAGGAAGAGAAGTGACACGTTCCCTCTGCCCCACATTTCCCCATGATCATCAACAACAGAAAGCTCGGCTGTTTGGATAAGCACTTCTATTTACAAAGCAAATGATAATGCTGAACAGAATTACGGTTCAAATCAGTGGCTTAAATATTATTTGCCGAGGCAAATTATTTACCAATGTAGTTGCCACTTTTTTTTTCCTCTGATGAAAGCTTCTTTCATTAAAGTGTTTACTAACAATTACATTTAAAGGGACAGAGTCAAGGTCTGTAAGCCCTCGGATGGACTGAGCTTCCCCTGGGACCTGTCCCATATTCTATACTGGCATTAAGAAACAAAATACAGTTTTCTTTAAACTATTTTGCAATATTAAACGCGTACAATTTTGAGATTTTTCAGAGGTACCTTTTACCTGCTGCAGTAACTGCCCTTCCCCACAGTGTAGCTTTACAGGGCAGAGTCTAAAAAGCCTTTGCTGCCCACATCTCCCCTCTGCAGCCTTTGCTGGGAGCCGACCTTTTTTATGCAGCCTCTTAACCGAAAGTGGCTCCATTGTGCAGCTGCATCTTTGCATTGAAAGGCTCAGGGCAATGTAATTAGCCTGAAAAGACCTACATCTTAGCTGCACAAGGACGGACTTGCACAGACTGAGACTATGAAGTCAAGATCCATCTTCTAATGTTCACTTCATCACTAGCTGGGCTGAAAATAAAATAGGTTGCAATAGGCAATATTTTTCTAGCAAAAAAACCCCAACCCTGTGCATAGAGATTTAGAGAAAAGTAATCATCAAAACCTTTAGTAGCTGTTCCTATAAAATTCTTCACCCCCGGTCTCTGGTATATCCTGTGGTTAAATAACTTCACCCCCGAGCACTAGGTAAGTACAGCAGTGAGAACACAGCAGAAGGGAAACATGAGGTGTCACAAATAAAATTGCTCCATAGTGTTGCCTATATATCTCAGCTAATGAAGTTCATGATTTCATGGGAAAAATATGGGAATCAGCAACCCCAAGCTGTCCTCTAGCCTGGGACCCTCAGGTCGCTGAGTGACCCAGGCAAAACACAACTGAATTTTCAAATCTGGTGGCCAATTTTGAGTGCCCAAGCCAATATATCCTGTCTCATTTTCAGAGGTGCTGAGCCTTTGCTGTTTCTGCATATCTTCCTAACACACAGGTCCTCAGTTCTTTTGACATAAAGTTCCTACAAATGTTAAAAATAGAGTCTGAGAAAAATAAAACAACAAGGAAAACAAACAAAAAGCATCATCATAGATGTCTTCCACTGATTTTAAAAAAAACGTTTCACTTTTCCATTTCTATAACCACTCTGGAGCTTGTAAACAGCACAATTCTACATAAATGGGGGAGCTCATTTTATGTTTCCTGGGCCATCCTACAAGTATGTTAAATTCATTAACCTCATTTGTAATGTCCTTTAGAACTATAGATGATGATTACTCTGAAACTGCTAATCTTTTTCATCTGTGTTATGTAAGACACGTTTTCCAGTAGCTCTGAACTGAACACATACTCAGATGCACAATCTTCTTTTTGTCACAAGGGTTGTGCCTGAAGCCATCCCACAGATGCACAAGGAACTTATTAGCATAAACAAGGCCTAATGATTTTGTTCAGGCAAAATTTCACTGCTGGGATCAGTGGAAATTCATTTTTTTCAGCAACTAATTGCCATTTTACTCATCAGAATGAAAAGGACTAAAGCTGATATAACATATTCCTGGCCCAAGTATACAGTGATTCAGTGCAAGTTTTAGGGCTTAAATGAAATACATTAAAAAGAAATTTTAAAAAATCAACAGAATATGAAATCTCTCTTCAGCAGTTACGGTGCATAAGAATTGGCTTTCGACTTTTCTGGTTTACAGATTACACTGATTATTTAACTTGGGATGCAAAACTTGCAAGCAGCCACCAGAGGGCGCTTTACATGAGAAGTTCATCCTGGAACATTTCCACAGTTGCAAACATTCACGAAATCACAGAATCACAGACTCGATTAGGTTGAAAAAAACCTATTAAGATCATTGACTCCAATTATTAACCCAGCACTGCCATATCCACCACTAAACCGTGTCCCCAAGTGTCACGTGTACACATCTTTTAAATAGCTCCAGCAATGGTGACTCCACCATTGCTGCTCCAATGGTGACTTCCCTGAGCAGCCTTTTAAATACCTCTAGCAAGGTATTTAAACCATGATGAAGCCACATTGGGTGACTGGAGGGACACGGTGAAAGTCTCCAGCATGCTCGACAGCACCATGAAAGGCAGAAAGGTGAAGGACTTCTCCAAAGTGTTACAGAGCTCTCACCCTCCCAAACACATCTTCCACATACAGTTGTGGCCAAGAAAAACAGTTGGTTTGGTGCATGAAATAGCAATTTCAAAGAACAAAACCTTTTGATAAACCAGAGGCAGTCTAGCAGTGTTCACATCAAACCCACTCAAATATGAGCACTGTGAAACCAAATGAGCGTCCAACAGCCAAAGTGTTGAGTACTTGCTAAAGATACCCTGAGTCCTTTTAACAAAACCAGAGGCACAACGTAACAAGCAGAGCTGATTCCTGTGTATAAAGGACTTTAGACCATATTTTTACCACAGAATGGTTAAGGATGGAAGGGACCACTGGAGGTCATCCAGTCCAACCTCCCTGCTCAAGCAGGGTGCCCTAAAGCACATTACTCAGGATTGTGTCCAGGCAGCTTTTGGATATCTCCAGAGAAGGAAACTCCACAGCCTGTCTGGGAAATCTGTTCCAGTGCTCAGTCATCCTCACAGTAAAGAAGTTCTTCCTCATATTCAGGTGGAACTTCCTGTGTTCCAGTGTCTGCCCATCGCTTCTTGTCCTACTGCTTGGCACCACCAAGGTGGTGGTGGACTTCAGAGGACTTTAAAATATTTTTGGCATTCAGCAAGTGAGTGACTGATAAACAAGCCAGAGAAGCAAGGGAAGGTGTATGTGAAGGCAAGGACAGCAAAAGGACAGCAAAGACAGCCGTGGTCAGCACTTTAATGACAAAAAGAGAGACAGAAAGAGCAAGAGTCAGTGCAGGAGGGCATTGACCTGCAATGAGTGGTCCTTCAGCAGAGATCAGCCCAGGAACCAGGCTGCAGCCACACACAGAAATGCAGAATGATGACTGCATAGCCTGGATATGCATGAAAAAATATACAAGAGTTGCTGAAGGATGAGGGACCTGTATCTGCTCAACTTGTAAAAGCAACACTGAAGACCCCCAAGACAGGGTCACTGAGAAGTCCTCTTTATTTGCTGGAGACAAAACACTTCAGCAAGTGATAGATTTTGACTGTCTGGCAGCTGGTGTGGAAGCAAAAAGTTACAATCTGATCATAAAGGGTAGGAGAGGACAGAGATGTTCACAAGGATATATTAAAGGGGTAGGCAGGGCAGAGAGGAAAAGGAGGTATTAGCATAGGTAAGTGTCATACTGTCTCTTCCTTGGGCTGTGGGACATGTGACAGTTGAAGAAGCTTCTGCAGGTATCTTTTGTTCTTACACACTTAAAAGCTGCATTTTGTCATGGAGTCAGAAGGCACAGGATTAACTGCTGAGGAGTTGCACCACCATGCCCTCTGCTACCCCATGAGACTGGGAAGACCCACAAACCAGGCTGTGCTCCTGAAAGTACACCCTCCTCACCACAGGTCCTCAAAACACAACCAACAGACAGTGCAGTCTCCAATTATATGTCTGCTCATCACTGCCCCGAGAGCAATGGTATGCAAGTCAAAGTGCCTGGTGTGCTGAAGGAGTGTGCCAAGGATGACTTTCTTGGCCACAAAGATCCATAAAAGGGTGCCAGACCCTCGGGGACAATCATGGACAAATTAAAGTCTTCAAAATTGTAGTTTGCTGGAGCCCAGCCCCTGAGGCACTGAGTGCCTTAGGCACCTATAGGCCCATCAAGATTTCTCAGCATCCTACAAAATGCCTACAGGGTTCACAGGGCTGGGGGGTGAGCATCCAGATCCAGACCCAAACTTGCTGACTACAACCATCAAAGCACGTCGACCAGCAAAGTATGTTGCACCCCTCCTCACCTCAACCTCATGTACACGTACACGTACATATCCTGCACAAAACAGAGGTGTACTGGGTGCATGCCTGACTGAAACTGAGTTCTGCCTATCTAGAGAGAGAAGAGGACCCACTGGTCAAGAGAGGACCTGAGTCTCAGACTCTGCTTTTCTCAGGCAAAACACTTGTATACTCACTGGGATAATGAGTGAAACCCAGGTGAGTAGCCTGGTGAGAAAAAGGAAGGCATAATCTAGTAGAGAAATAAATTCTCCCACACCCCACATCAGATTCATCAACTTCAGTGGTTCAGTGAGGACTCTGGATTTGGTGACAGCACTGCAGCTTCTGAAGCTGCCTCTGATGCCTGCAGAGGGGTCTTAGCTCAAGTGCACCCTCCACACACAATCCCCATTTGTGCTGGC